CCACCACCATAATCATCATCTCAACTGAACCACTGCAGTCCCTTGTCCATCCCAGCTTACACCCTTGCCCAGTCCAACTCAGTCTACACAGAATACAGTAATGCTTTAAAAAATGAAATTTAGACACCAGTTCTCTGTGTAACATTCTATAATGGCTCCTCATTTGACAAAAACTCACTCATTGACCAAACTTTAGACAAATTTCTCTGAGCTTTTTTCAAGTTTTCAAGGCTTCCTCCTTGGGGCCCTTCCTTGGCTTGCATAAGTCAGTTTAAGCAAAGCATCTTGCTACGTCATTCTCTGACCCCCTTGATATATGATCACCCTTGATATCCGATCAAGTTCTTCATCCCCTACCCTTGATGACTAAGCTCTTGACTTGCCTTTATCAAGAATCCCGTTAGGTCAGTTTAGGGAGAATCCCCTTAGCCCTGATGTCTCCTCTTAGTAATTTTGGATTCGCTGACCCCCTCAATCTGCTTGTTAGCTATAAATGCCTAATTATTCCTGTTCTTTTTGGAGTTGAGCACAATATCTCTCCCGGATACCCAATCCACATTTGTTTTTCCTTATTAACCTCTCATGGTCTCCTGTTCTTTTTCCTTTATTGCATTTCTTGAACTAAGTAACCATACACATGTCTTCATTTATTCCTAATTCTGCTAACCAAACCGTCTCTCTCTATTCTGTACACTATGAGACCTATGTCTACTCTGTACACAATGGTCTATCTCTATACTGGCACATACTAGGTGCTCAATACATATTTGTCAAATGAACATATTAGCAGCCTATTATTTTACAAAGCCAGGTAGCTCCCTACATTTCAAGTGTGTGTAAGTAGAAACAAAATCTATCAGAATGTACATTGCTCTGTACTACACAGGAGGCCAGGTACCCAGCCCTATGTCATCTGTCTACCCTGATTACTATAACTCCGTTTAACTTGGCTTGTAACTTCCACCATATTTCCCATCTACCAGTGGTCGAGTCCTATCGGTTTCTCACTTGCGTCCTCTGACTGCCCTTCTTTTCTATTCAGCTCTCCTCATAAATGAACTGTTATAAACTGCTACTTCATCTCCTCATCTCTGGAGTCTCTTTCCCTCCAATGCATCTTCTCCCTGAGTCCTTTAACTACCTATGTGACCTTGCATAAGATCTGTAGACTTTGGTGTTCCCCATTGTAAAAACATGTAAACTCAATGGCTAATTTTCCTGCAATGCTTTATTTTATTTTTCTTTTTGGAATGAATAATGTAAGCTAACATAACATACATGTGAATTACAAAAATGTGTTTTTTTAGCCTTCAAATTTGTCTATGAACTACATGAGAACAGGGACTTACACTTTCTGTCCTGCTGACAGTACTTAACACACGGCCTTATAGAGAGCTGACTGCTACTTAAACACTACACTTAAATAAACCCAAAACATAAAAGAATGAAAATCAAACATACTTACTCTCCCATAGCCCATGGTGGACAGCAACATAAAGGAGGGAAATGTTTCTGCTGATCTTTGGCTTCAAGGATTAATACCAGATTTGGATACCGGTTAGTTAGATAATTTGTAAGGAATCCCATAAAGTTGTAAATAACATAAGCTTCATAGCATTCTCTGCAGGTGTCCACATATATTGCAATGCTGGGATATTTCAAAGCTATCCACTATGAAAAAGCATAGATGTTAAAAATAGTCGCAGCTAAGATAAAATAAATTACCACTGTAATTCATGGTACTCACAAGAAGCTAATTATAAAACTTGAGATGTCTTCGTCACATACTTACATGAGACTCTCTAAAATTAATCATTATGAGGACTACCAGACAATCTGTGAAATGAATTTTTAAAAACAATAAATGCCTTGGATGTTGGTAAACAAAAACATAAGTGTCTGAGGATAAATAATGAATATAAAGAGAAACTAAATTAAGTACTTGAGTTTCAAAATATAATCTAAAATTTTTCTTTCTTTTTTCTTTTTTGTAGAGACAGGGGTCTCACTATGTTGCCCAGGCTGGTCTTGAACTCCTGGCCTCAAGCAATCCTTGAGTCTCAACCTCCAAAATTGCTGGGATTACAGCCATGAATCGCTAGCCATCCTCTGAAAATTTTCTTAATATGATCATAGAAAATACTGTTAAAGGTGGGTTCAGTGGCTCATGTCATCCCCAGCACTTTGGGAGGCCGAGGCAGAAGGATCACTTGAGTCCTGGAGTTTGAGACCAGCCTGGGCAAACACATTGAGACTCTGTCTAAAGAAAGACAAAAAAAGAAAAAAAAGGAAATGCTGTTAAAGATGTTTCCTTTACATCTTAATCAAATTAGAGTAGTAATCTACAGCAATTCCATGTTTCCACTGAATACGGTTTTTTGTTTTTTGATCCAAATAAAAGACTTAATAAACAAAAAAGGTGATAATGTAATGTAAAGTATTACATTCTCTGTAGGACTAAGAGCAATTAATCTGAAAATTCAAAAGATTAAGCAAAGAAAACAGCTATAGATTTCTAAAAATTTAAAATACCACATTTTCCATTTTCCATTATCATACTTGATATCTTTATCAACATTAAAAACAAGTGAAATTTTTTTCTTAATTATTCTGATTCCTTATTGTTAGTAACATACTTTTATTACCTTAAGCATTCTGTAAGTACAGTTAGTATCATCAAACAATTCTTAGTTAATGAGAGAAGAATGAAACATACTTACACTATCTAAACTGTATATCGGTACCATCCAAAGAATCCTATTTGGAAAGCAAAACATAAATTAACATTTTATGTCATATTTAGGAAATAAGCCAGCACAACATTAGTAGACTCAAGATATATCAAGATTTACCTTATTATTGGTTTTTGTAGTTCAGGTTGTGTATAATGCACTAAGTGTTGCAATATCACCCATAGCGATATAGGTATAGTCAACAGCAAAAAGATTCCAGCAATAAACCAAGCCTTGGTGTGTATTCCAACCTTAGGAAACAAAAGAATGCATGAGTATAAAACCTGATATTAAAACTAAAGAGAGCTCGATAATATTTGTGTTTCTTAAATTTTCACTTATTTGATTATTAAGGAGGCTCAATGTTTTCTGAATGGTTAGTGGTTACTTTTATTTCTTCTTCAAAATAAATAGTAATTTGTGTTTTTGTGAAGGCAGAAGGCATATTTTTCCTTATGTGGTTAAGCATTTTCCTCATGGAGTCTTTAGTAACAGCTTTTTACACATTAGAAATACTAACAGCATGTCATTTCCCCTTGGCGTGTTAGTTGCCTTTTATATTTCATTATTGTACTTGGGGACGAACCGAAGTTTTAAAATTTTTCACAAGTCTAAAAATCTTTTACAGTTTATTTCTTTGCTTTTCTTCCCAGGAAGTTAAAAATCTACTTATATCTCCTTAAAATCTTATTGTTAATTTTAGTCGGCAAATTCCTTGCATGTATGAGAACAATGAACATTATTTACTGAGTGCTGACTATCTGCCTGATATTTTGCTAAGTTCTTTACACGCTTCATCTCTTTTAACCCTCCCATCAATGGAGAAATCCTGCCTCACTACTCTCCAAATGGTTTCGTATATGCCACCTTTCTTGTATACACAATAATATCAACACAGGATATTATTTTTTAAAATCTCTAATTTCTTTCTTTTTTTTTTTGAGTTGGAGTCTCACTTCATCGCTCAGACTGAAGTGCAATGGCGCTCCCGGCCACCACAGCCTCGACCTGCTGGGCTCCGGTGATCCTTCCGCCTCAGCCTTCTGAGTAGCCGGAATTACAGGCGCATGCTACCACGCCCGGCTAATTTTGATTTATTGTAGAGATGAGGTCTCCCCAGGTTGCCCAGGCGGGTCTTGAACCCGCGGGCTAAGGCAATCCACTCACCTCAGCCTCCCAAAGGCGCGGGATTACAGGCTGAGCCACCGAGCCCGGCTTCTAATTTCTTTTTAAAGTCAGTATCTGATCAATACTTTGTCTTTAAAAGCTCAATTTCTAAAAATATACTTTGAACCATATCATCCTTAGGTGGAGTTGCAGGGATTTACCTGCTTTCTGGAAAACACAATTTTACTGAACCACTGTTCTATTTGGGGGGCCCTAGGGACTGAATTTATCCTAACTAGTAGTCTTGCCTTGAAGAGTGTACATCCTCTTTGTTTTTAAAAGGGGAAAAGTGGGCATTTATTTTTTTATACTTGAGGGGATTAAGCAGTAAGCAATGAAAACAGAAGTGAACTCCACAACTTCTTTCACTGTTTTGAACAAAACTTTCCTCCACCAGGGACAAAAGACTTAAAGAGGTATAAAACAAAAGTATGGAGAACAAATGTACTTTTAACAATAATGAATTTCTACGTTAAAATGTACAGAAAACTTGAAAAACAAATATAAAAGTTTTGCTGAATGATGGAGATTGATTAAAGCAGTAAGTGAAAAGCAAATGCATGGAGGTAAAGGTTCTACAAGGAATGTCTGAGCACTTGTTTTCCAGAGCTTTTTGCTTATATCAATTTTGTTTAAAATTGAGTACCTTATCCACCGGAGATACATTCTAAGACCCCCAGTGGATGCCTAAAACTGTAGATAGTCCTGAGGACTATAAACGTGCACTGTATTTTCCCCCATACATACACACTTATTTAAGTAAGAGCTTAACAAATAAAACAGAAGTTATAACATGTGCTGTAATAAGATATTTAGAACTTATGAATTATTTATTTCTGGAATTTTCCATTTAATATTTTTGGATCAGGGTAGACCACAGGAAATTGAAACCATGGAAAGTTAAATTTCAATGTGATCTAAGAAAATAATAGCATAAACATATTCTAGGTCTTCTCTATTATAAGTTGATCATTAAGAACAATATTGCCAAATAATTTTAATGTCCATGTTGGTTTTTATGATTGCCTTACGCAAAAAAGTAGAACTTCATGGTGGACTTGAGAGGAAAATGATGTGCTGTGTGTAATGAAGGTCAAGCATCCTAAGTGTGTTGTAAAGAATAAAGTGCTGGCCGGGCTCGGTGGCTCAGCCTGTAATCCCGTGCTTTGGGAGGCCGAAGTGAGTGGATTGCCTGAGCCCGCGGGTTCGAGATCCGCCTGGGCAACTTGGCGAGACCTCATCTCTACAATAAATCAAAAATTAGCCGGGCATGGTAGCGTGCGCCTGTAGTTCCAGCTACTTGGAAGGCTGAGGCGGAAGGATCGCCGGAGTCCAGCAGGTCGAGGCTGCGGTGGCGGGAGTGGCCACTGCACTCCAGTCTGAGCGACAGAGTGAGACTCCAATTCAAAAAAAAAAAAAAAAGGAATAAAGTGCTTTTTCAAACAATCATAAGTAACTAGAGAAGTCATGACAGTTATGGTCATGCCAATTTTTTTTTTTGAGTTGAAATCTCACTCTGTTGCCCAGGTTGGAGTGCAGTGGCATGCTCACAACCACCGCAGCCTCGACCAGCTGGGCTCAGGTGATCCTTCCGCCTTAGCCTTCCAGGTAGCTGGAACTACAGGCGTGGACTGCCATACCCGACATTATTATTATTGATTTATTGTTGAGATGAGGGCTCACCAAGTTGCCCAGGCTGGTCTTGAACCCCCGGGGCTCAGGCAATCCTCTCACCTCGGCCTCCCAAAGTGCTGGGATTACAGGCTGAGCCACCATACCCGGCCAAGATCATGCCAAATTTAAAAAAATAACATACCATGGAGTTAGTATCATGTTCACATTGCCAGTGGTAATTTAGTTTCAGAAAAACATCATCTGTACATTAACACCAGTCTTAATTGCTGGTTTAATAGTGCTTTAATTTTTGAGCTATTAAAAAAACCATATACATAAGAAATTTAACCTATCTTATGTGTATACATATTTAAGTAACACTAAGTACCTGTATATTAACATAATTACTACCTTTACTTTAACTTCTATTTAAATAATTTATTCAACTTTGAAACACTGATATAAAGATACCATTAACATTATTTTTAAACTTATCAGCCATGAGTTGAGTTTTTTGACTCACAAAAACATGGAGGAGATAAATAGGGTAGATTTTGTTTCTAAGGTAACTTGAGTAAAGAAGAAAGGAAAGAAAAAACCCTTAAAGACAAGCATCCAGGAGAAAGTTAACTCTCCCTCAGCCAAATGCTTAACAACAGAATGGAGACAACAGGAGATTCTAGGCCCAGTCCTCCTGAGGGGAGAGAGAACTGACCAACAGTAGCTACTTGGGGCACAAGGATGAGTGGGACAGGGTAAAAACACTACGGAACAGGTTGCCATCATGTGTGCATTTAACTTACTTGACTTCAATTACACATGCTCAGCCAAGACAGTGAGAAAAGAGTTTAAGTAGTGCAGATGGTCATCCTGTCATTCCAATAAATGAGTGTATGCCCCACCACGGGCCTGGAGTGAGCTTCTAGAACTGTGAGAAAATAAATTTGTTGTTTAAGCCACTCAGTCTACGGTATTTTCTTGTGGCAGCCTGAGCAAAGATAAACTCCCACATTTATATCTGCAGACCAAACCTTTCTGAGCACGAGACTTGCATATCCAGCTGCACATTTGAATGTCTCTCATTAAACTAAATATCCATAACAGAACTCAACTTCTCTCAGACCTGTCCCTAACCTTACAGTTGTTCAAGTCAAAAACCTCAGAGTTGTCTTTATCTTGTTTTTGTCTTCCTTTCTCTGACATTCCTCCCCAATCCAATTTACTGCCAAGTCCTGCTTGTTCACTTCCAAGGAAACTTAAGATTCAGTTTTCAACCTCTACTTCTGCTACCTTGATCCGGGCCATAAATCATCATAGTCAGGCACCCACTAGCCCTCAACTACCACAAAGAGCTTTCTAAATTCCCTTTATTTCCACTTACTTTTCCATAGAGTGTAGAGTGGTCTTCTGAAGTTATGCAGTCAGACTGCCATGCCCGTTAACTTCTCAGACCTTTCTTAGTTGCCTTCATAGCATTTTATACAATTTTATTTGATTGATTTGTTTTTGTTTGGTTGCTTTTGTTTCCACCACTAAGTTCCATGAAGATAGGTGCCTTGTTTATCTCTCATCATATAGCATACAAAGCCTGATTCATTTCACTAGGACTCAATCATTTATTCAAGTATCAGTCATCTGAGCAGAAATCATTTGAGCAGAAAGAGGGGAAGAAACTAACTAAAATATGTATTGTGGTAGATGGTAGCAACTCCTATGAAGAAAAATAGCAGGAGACAGAATATGAAGAGTTGGGGGGGGAAGCTTGCAATTTTAAATAGGGTAGTCAGGTGACATTTGAGTTAAGAACTGAAGGACAAAAAGGAATGAGGGGGAAGGGCATTCTACAAAGAGGGAACTTTTAGTGTCAAGGCTCTATGGAGGGAACCAAGGCATGTTTGAGCAGTGTGGCAGAAGCCTAGAACTTGAGGAAAGAAAGTCAGAGGGGGACCGGATGGGAGTGCTGTCAGCTCAAGTTGAGCCTTGATGGCCACATAGAAGAATGCTGGCCTTTACTCTGGGGCTACGTCTGACTAAAGAAGACACACGTAATGTGACTTATGTTTTAACTGGTTACTCTGGCTGGTGTGTTGAGAAGAGTCCAGGCAACACACAATAAAACTTGGCTTAGGTTATTAGCAATGGAGATTGCATGTTTTTCTTAAAAGTTAGTGGCACTTAAAAACCACAGGTGAGCCGGGCTCGGTGGCTCAGCCTGTAATCCTGTGCTTTGGGAGGCCGAGGTGAGTGAATTGCCTGAGCCCATGGGTTCGAGACCCGCCTGTGCAACTTGGCGAGACCTCATATCTACAATAAATCAAAAAAATTAGCTGGGCATGGTAGCGCGAGCCTGTAGTTCCAGCTACTTGGAAGGCTGAGGCGGAAGGATCACTGGAGCCCAGCAGGTCGAGGCTGCGGTGGCCGGGAGCGGCCACTGCACTCCAATCTGGGCGACTGAGTGAGACTCCAACTCAAAAAAAAAACAAACAAAAAAGCAAACAAACCTACAGGTGAACTAACAACTAAGAGAAGTCTTTAACTGGGATGATATTACTTATGTTATTATCTTTAAAAGTAGTTCCTTATGCTCCAAGGTAATACTTCAAAGTAAGAAAACCCTATTTGTATTAAGATGTTTGAACCTGAATTTTGGTAGACAAATTACAGAAATAACCTAAATATCAAACAAATGGGAACTATTTGAAGTAGGAAAATGTTACCTTACCACTAAAAATAAGGATATGGACTATGCCAGTATGGCAAAGTCGACAGAAAAATCACTTAATGAACATAGAGAACACAAATGTATATTAAATACATTTTGTTTAGCTACATAAAAAAATCACTCCACAATAAAGAGGGTTCTAAAATAGTCATGGTTTTGTCACAGTTCTTGTAAAATAGACAGTTCTCAGTAAAATTGCTTACTGGATTTTATCAATACAAATTTAAAGTTCATTATACAACTTTTATAAAGTATATATCTTAATTATTTACCCTGGAGTCTTATAGCTTGTAGTACTTTACTGATGTCACAATAACAATATGACATCAAAAAATATACAAGGGACTTTTTGCAATCTTTGTTAGCTAACAGCTAATTTCCAAAGTAAAAACAAAGAACAAAGTTAAACCAACCAAAATCCTTTGATTCGAGGAGCTAGTTAAAAGCTAATAAAATTTAATACACGGTTTTTAAGGTAGTTTATTTGGTCAAGTCCAATATCTAAACAGATCAGATTTCAAGGATAAAATTAGCTTCTTTCAGGGAACTGATGAGTATGTACAAAACAGCGCCCTTCCAAACAGCTATATCAACATAACCTCTATTTTCTCGTCCCGGTCTCACCTCCACCTGTAGTCAGCTTTGAAGAACCGTGAACAAGAAACCAGACAGGTTTTTTACTAAGACGGGGATTGTTTACATGAGATGGTTTTCAGGACACCAAATCTACCTACGGTAGAAATGGGGGAGGGGTGCCTCTTTCCCAACTTTCGATAGGCAGAAGAAAAGGCAGAGGCCGTTGGTGCAGGACCCTCTTACCTCCAGTTTCTGTAATTCCCACACGCACAGGGGAACCGCAACCACTATGGACACCAGGTAGATGACCACTGCTAAAGGTCGAATCCACTGTCTCCAGTTCCTCCAGGTGCAAGTGCAAGGCATGTTTTCGCACAAATCAGCTCCGAGTAGCAAGGAAAAAGAGCTCGAAGAAGATTGCGACGGGGAGCCCTGTTTTCTGGCTGTTTTTTCAACTCGCATCCTACGGAGAAACAGCAGCTGGGCGACTTTACCAACAGCTCGAGCCGCCTTCTCGGCCGGCACTCTGTTTTCTGCTGCTGCTGCAACTGCGGCCGCTCAGGGTGCTACCGGGCAGCAGGGAGGGCAGCATCCTTTCTTCCCCACCCTGCATCTACCTGGTTCTACTGCGGTGGAATCCCCTGCGGAGTCGCTGCCCTCACCTGGGGCTCGCCCTGAGCTCTGCCTGCACCATGGCCGCGAGGAGGGCGCGCCGACCGGAACCGGCCTCTAGGGACCCTGCACACTTCAGTTTTGCCCCGCACCTGCCCGCCCGCTCGCTTTTTTGTGGGGGGTTGGAGCTTCCTCCCTCCCACACCCGCAGGCGTGTCTTTGCCGGATTCTGCCGGTAGATAAGGCCACGGGATTTCCTCACTCACTCGCACGGGACAACCCCTACCGCGGAACCCAAGGCCAAACCAGGACTTTCGGCTCTCTTCCGCTTCCGCCCCTGCTGTCTGAGGCAAGTGATTCGTCGTCAGCGCCAGGCGGCCCCGCCCCATCCGGCTCACTTTCCAGTCTCTGATTGGTCACATGAGGGGGCGGGGCAGTGGGATTGCGTAACAGGATAAGGTGAAGGCCAGAAGAGGAGGTGGGTGGCAGTTGGGGGAATTGCTGCCAGGTGGTCCAGGGGCCCCCGAGAAGGATTCTGGAAGCTGAAGAAACTGAGGACATTTAAGGAACACCAACTACATTCTTCTGCTGACCTTATTCCAGCTTAAAGAAAGCCTGGGTAAGGCGCAGTTACTTTAGAGTTGAAATGGAAGAGAAAAGGCCGTTTTCTTCACCAAGTCTCCCTAGGAGTGGAGAGGAAGGCAGAACGGAAAACGTCCTCCTACTTTTCTCTCCGTCACTAGAATCTAGTGTAGGCCGCTTCGGCATGTCTGGATCCTGCAGAAGGATCATTCTAAAGGTAGCTTCATTTTAGAAGCAACTGCAAATACGTAATGCCCTTTCCGCGTCTGAAACTTGTTTCAAAAGGTTGACGTTCCAGCTGACAAAGGAATTTTGTATGCCTAAAGCTCTTGGCTAAACCTATAGAGCACACAAATGGCAAATGAGATCCTAAAGCCATTCATAAACTGTTAGAGCAGACAAATACCTACTTCCCAATTACATATACGAATGTGTTTTATATTACAATTGTCATTTTCGAGGGGACAGGCACGGCACCGACCGAGGAGGTAGAAGTTGGTTAGGCAGACAGGGAAGGGCTCGAAGGGACATAATACCGGCGGGAAGGCCCCTGCACTACCCCGGTTATGTAACTGTGAGCTGAAAATGTTAACGCAGCTGAGAGCATCCTCTCAACCTAGGATGTACCGCTTAAAGGAACTGTTTGCTACTTAAACACAGGTGCAGTAGCTTAACTGAATGTCATCACTTGACCGTAGCTTATTATAGTGTCATTAGCATAGTATTTGCTTTGCGGTCCCCCCCCCCCCATGGGCTTTTCTGTGGTACTTATGGGTAACATTCAAGATGCAGTAACTTTGGACAAGGACTTGCATGCCCAATAAAAATTGGGTCTCAGGAAGTAAGGGACAGATGAGATGTGAGAGAAACGTCCCCCCAAAAAACTGAGATAAAACCACAGACAAGCTCCTAGCACCGGTAACTCATTTCGAGCCCTCTCTCTTTTTCTGGAGAGCTCTGTTGCTTAATAAACTCCTTCTTTCACTCATCCTTTTGGTGTCTATGTTCGTTAATATTCTTGGTTATGGGACAAGAAGTTGCTGGTCTAAACCGACAGCAGAGTTAAAAACTGCAACAGCACTGTACTAAGTTCTTTACCTATATTATGTAACTTGTTCTGCACAAAAATCCTGAGAGATAGTTTTCCATTTTACAGATGGGAATGTTTCAAGTGGTTAAGTAATTTGCCCAAGCTCATTGACGTAGTAAGTGCCATTGCTGAGATACTAACCTTGATGTCTCTGAGTTCAAAGGGCATTCATCATGTTTAAGCATTTGACCTGTCAGTACCTGCCAGCCCAGGAATTTGTGTCCAATGACCACCATATGGACATGATGGCATGTGATATTGAGTGCACTTAATACTGGATACTCACAGAGACACATATTATTATCTTTCCCAGTGTTGTCTATCCTACCCAAAGTCTGGAGCTTGTCTTCTGCAGTGGGTTTCCCAATCTTTTACATCTTCTCTCTTAATACAAACTACTTTCCTACCAGGGAAATAGGTCACTTGTTTGATCTTTCTAAGCTAACTTACAAAATTGAAATGATTTTTAAAAAAATTTCCTGATTATTAAATTAACGTATGCTCTATTGTTAAACTTCAAAAAACAGAAGAATAAAGAAAAGAGAGTTAATCCTTACTCTACAAGCAAGTATCACTACCTTTTGCTTTTAGTACACAGTTCAGGCTTCCTAGATGGGCTCTGTGATTTCAGCCACAGTGTTTTAGCCACCTGTAATACTCATCCCCATTCTTTCTCATGGACAAACCCTTTTGTCTAATTTGAAACCTTCCTTTATTCCTGTACCCCAAACTCATAATGTTATAGCCCTCATATTGTGTTATCATCATTGTCTTCTTTTTCTTTTGAGTCGGAATGTCACTCTGTTGCCCAGGCTGGAGTGCAGTGGCATGTTCACGGCCACCAAAGCCTCTACCTGCTGGGCTCAGGTGATCCTTCTTCCTCAGCCTTCCAAGTAGTTGGAAACACAGGTGTGCACTACTATGCCTAGCTAATTTTTTGATTTATTGCAGAGACAAGGTCTTGCCAAGTTGTCCAGGCTGTCTTGAACCCTTGGACTCAGGCAATCCTCTCGCCTCCGCCTCCCAAAGTTCTGGGATTACAGGCGTGAACCACTGCATCCAGCTGTTTGTCTTTTTAAGACTATGAGTTCCTAGGAGCAAGCTAAAAATCTAGAACCATTCGAAAAAAGAGAGAAGACCAGACTGCCAGATGCACAAGTGATTTCAAACAGTTTGTGAACTGAGTTCATCTAAGGTGAAGTTTCTTCAGATCATCAGAAAGATTTTTTAAAAAATATGTACACACACACACACACACACACACACACACACACACACACACGGACACGGTTGGGTGTGCCAAATCTGAAAACGTGAAATCCAAAATGCTCCAAAATTTGAAACTGTTTTTAGCACCCAGATGATGCTCAAAGAAAATGCTCATTGGAACATTTTGGGTTTTGGATTTTTGGATTTGGAATGCTTAACTGGTAAGTATAAAGCAAATATTCCAAAATCTTCCTTGCATTTTGGATAAGGGGTACTGTGTGTGTGTGTGTGTGTGTGTGTGTGTGTGTGTGTGTGTGTGTGTGTGTGGTGAGTAGTAGTTATTCAAATGTCCTTTCTTTGGAGAGTAAAAAGTTACCCCCGATTTGTTTTATTTTATTTTGGAAATTTTTCTTGACCCATGAAATTTTAAAAAGTCTAGTCGTTCCTGATAAGGAATGGCCACTGGTGCCAGCAACCATAATGCTGGCGTGATTCTAACCAACTTGCTCTGCCTGTGTTGGAATTCTCTGTGTTCTCTTTATGACTTAGCCTAAGCCTGAAGGTGAATCTGAGCTTGATGGTGTTTGGTGAATAAGAAGTGGTTATAACGGACAGATGGTGCCAGGGTCAAAAGCAAGCTGTTCGTTAGCCTTGATGCAAATTATATAGAAAAATGAAGTTTCTGTTTATTACTTTACCACATGAAAATAGGTAGAATTTTGCTATCCCTGGAGGATAAATTTGGATTATTCTGACTTAAAATAATAGATTAAATACACTTTGAGGGACGCTGGGAGTTATGCACTGTTAATGCATTGGCATGTGTCTCCATTTCTCTCTCTATAAATATGTGGTTTTAAAACCTGGCTGCAAATTGATACTCTTCCCATAAATAGTTTGTGTTCCCTCTCCTTAAATCTTTGTGGGCTTGTGACTGATTTGACCAACAGAATATGATAAAAGTTATCATAGTCACCATATGTGACTTCTGAGGCTAGGTCATAAAAGGCCAACTTGTCTGCTGGAACACTTACCTTTGGGACTCTCAGCCATCATGTGAGGAGTCCCACTACCTGAGGCAGACATGCTGTGGTAAAGCCCAGCACACATGGAGAGGCCCCTTGAAGTTACTTGAGGCTGAGCCCAGACCTTGAGTCAGTCCAGCCTAGGGGCCAGTCACATGGGTAGAGAAGCTAGTTCCAGTTTCCAGCCATTCCATTGCTCCTTGGTCATTTGGGTCTTTCCAGCCGACGCCCTAGTCATGTGGACCAGAGACAAGCCATCCCTACCTTGCTGTGTCCTAAGTCCTGATCTAAAGAATCCATGAGCAGAATGAGATGATTGTTGTTTTACTTCTCTGAGTTAAGGGTTGTTTGTTACGTATCTCTTCAGTGAATAAATAACTGAAAGAGTATCTTTTGTCTATTTATATACTCTACTTAATCTTGTTTTTAGTGATTTTTTTTTTTTGCCTGTAGCAGACTTTTAGCCTAGATAATGGGTCTCAGGTTTTTCAGGGATGTGCTGGCTCCAGAGTCCTAGATTGTGCTAACCAACCCATGAGCTAAGTGAGTTTTAGATTTAAGTTTTAAGAATGCAGGAGAGTAATCTGAGCAAGTCTTTACACTATGTTTAATTTTGCGATGTTTCTTTTTTTCTCTTCTTTCCACAAATGGTGGATTACTGTCCAGTAAATGAGTAGGGAAGAAAATAAAAGTACAAGTGTTAAAATCAAACTTTCAAATGGGAACCTTGAAGCTGAGTATTTTTGCCCACTTCTAAGCTTCAGCTTTACCTACTACATCCTTAAGGCTACCTTTAAGCTTCACTGAAGAAGACACCATGCCCATTCATCTCTACCTCCTCCAGCCCTCCCCTGTTGATAACAGATCAAGTTGGAGATATCTGATATGTATCACCGTATCTCCACGTGTCTGTATATACATTATCTCTTATTCTTTAAGGGATTTCTCTCAAGCACTTTTGGGTAGGTAAATACTGTGGTTGAATTTATACATTTTAAAAACCCTAATAAACAGTAAATATACAAATCTGTTTAACGTGCTTATGTTAAAATAAAAGTGAATTATAATGACTTGGAAAAAATTGTGAGTAGTTCATGTCATTTTGTTTAGTGAGTCTTATGAGTCAGAGCAGAGGTTCTGGTTTGCAGTCTATTTCTGTATGGCTCATGTGCTAAGAACAGTTTTAACATTTCTTTTTTTATTGTGGTAAAATATACATAACATAACATTTACCATTTTAACCATTTTTAAATGTGTAAGTCAGTGGCATTAAGTATATTCACATTGTGCAACCATCGCCTGTACCATCTGCAGAACTTTTTCATCACCCCAAATAGCAGATGTGTGCTCATTAAACAACACCTCCCCAAGACCCACTGTCCCCAGCCTTTGATAAGCCATCATTCTAGTTTCT